GAGGGCAGCGCCCTCATCTGGAGAACAAAGACACAGACACGCTGAGGTCTATGAATGTTGCCAGCTTAAAAGAAACGTCTCATCTACAACCAACCTTACGTCCTCGCCATAAAGGAGGGAGATACTAAATCTTAATTTTATAAATTTACAAACATATATACATTTATACCGGTTAATTATAAATATCTGTATTAAAAAGTGTAATCACCAAGAGATATTTTATAGTATGAGCATGTTAACCTTATTCCTGCAATAAAAATAATTATTAATAATGTTGCTTGGCAGATCAAATATATTCAGTATTTAAACTATCCTCCCAAGCATCTATGGGTTGTCAAGTAGTACCTGAACAGTCCAAGTACTGGTGGAACTGCTATTATCATCCATTTGTCAAATAAATGTTGTGTATGAAGGTTCCCAGAGTTCTTGTGATTTTGTTTTACTCCATATATTTGGTAGATATTAAATGTAGAAAATCAAGTGAATAACAGTTTGTTTTTTTCAGTAATTTAGACTCTTCACATGTAGTTTAATTTACATCCCCCAGCTGCAGAACATATGTATTTTCTCACCACATACCATATAAAATCTCTCAGACCAAGAAATGCAATGAACAACAGACACCAGTAAACATTTCCAAGTGTTCTGTGCAACAGCTGTTATGAAAGAAAAACGTGATAGAAGAAAATAATTTACTTTCCAAGAGATTATTTTATAAATTCTCAGATTTAGTTGATGAAACATAAGAAAACCCTTGGATCATTAACACATAATAACACAAGTTATTAGGACTTTACCTTTTGTTTTTTATCGTAGAATGAAAAATAAGGCTCGCCTCTCAGTTGTTCATAGATACATTTTCTGTTAACTTTTCAATTATCTGAAAAACACAAACATAACAGTTTTTGTTATTAAAATAGGGTTAAAACAAACACAAAACAACAACAGTATGAAGATGAATCTCATGTCTACCTTTAATAAGGAAAGGTTCTTTTGCTAGATTATAAAAACATTAAGGTGAATGTGTTCATTTGTCTTAAATATAAAGCTGATTAAGTGAAAGAAAAAGAAAAGGATGCAGTTTTCTTTAAAACTACAAATTATACTTAATGTAAAACAGCGACAACTTACCTTACTTCATCACAACTACACTGAAAACACCTGTTTGGTTATGAAAAAAAGTGGGAGGGGGTGTAAAGGAAAAAAGGAAAAGTAACGTTAGCTTCCCAGAATATATTTAAAGTTCCAAATTATGCAGATTAAAAATGAACAGCATCAGGAAATCCTTTAAAGTCTCCACCACCCATCAAACAAAGGGTGACTGCTGAGTACAGATCTCATCATGCATTTCCAACACTGGTTAGGTTTTCTTTAAGACATTAAATGAACTCTTACCTCTCAGAGCTTGGAGCTCGGCCTAAGTGGACTTTGGATTTCATTTACTCACGTTCAGTACCTATAGTAAAAAAAACAGAGAAAATGAGATAAAAAGAAGTTAAAAAAAATCACCAAAAGAGAATCGGCTCATCTTATCTAACAGCAATGTTACCAAAAACAATATATTTATAATAAAGATCTTTATTTCAGAGTTTAAATAGATTTACAAACCATAAGAAAAAAAGAAATATAAACAAGAAAAAAAAATCATCAAGTGATCGTCAAAATATCCACATGTGCATTTCGAGGGATTGTAAACGGTCCTTTGAAGCCAAAAAATGAGACTCCCCAGGGTCAGGTTCACATAGCTGGAAAAAGGATGTGTTTTTCACTTGGTTGGGTCTATTTTGTTTCCTGAGGTTGTTGTTTTTCTGTAAATAACTACAGATTTCCCCCGTAACAATGCTGCCACCAATCACAGCTCGGAGAACTGGAGGGGAGACAATAAACTTGACAGTGGTTTGACAAAAAGAAAACAAAAGAAATCTCATTCACCCTTAAATGAAAAATCTGGAGGGAGGGCATCCATTCAGCGAGTTATCCCACAGGTTGTTGTCTTCACTGAGAATAGGTAAGTTGTTTTGGAGCGACTAAAGACTGGGAACAAAATTGCCGTTTCAAGATCTTTGTCAATCGGTTTCTGTTTAGATTCTCTGTTTAGTTCATATCATCTCTTGGTACATTAAACTCTGGCAGCGTTGTTCACACTGTTCTTAATCAGATCACCATTCTTAGCATTTAATACATATTAGACAAAATAATGAAACTCACACTACAATTTTAAAATTAAAAAGGTTACACTTGAAAAGACAGTCAAAACAAGCCCATAATACACAGACAACCCTTACCCCGTTCACAAAGGCAACAGCTTCAGATAAAATTGCTAACATCTGTCCGTGGACATAATCCCAACCCTTATAGCAGATCTAAAACCACAAACACGTCAATAACAGCATGCTAGTGAAGAACCACAGTCTCCTGCTCATGCTCAGACATCAACCCTCTCCCCATGCCTTCCCATGTGCCTTCGCCACATCTTCTCAGCACGTCTCAGAAATGATCAGCATATATTCAGTCAATCACAGACGCTCACACACTGACGCACAGCAACAGACGCATGATTAAAGTGATGTTGAGGATCCTATCTGAAATACTGCTTGGTGTGATGTATATGGAGAATGCAAGAGCGACCCCTACGGTCACAATAATGTAACTGTACCTCCTACTCTACAGACTGAAACATAATTCTATCAGGCCTTTGTCACACCTCTCATTTAATCTCGCTGTTAGCTGTGACCCAACATGGCAGCAGCTCAGTCCAACATTTCAGAGAAGACATACAAGTACTGCCTGTACACAGTGTCCCCACTAGGGGGATGTGTGTTCTGTGCAGGCTCGTTTAGAAGCCCAGTGTTGTTGTACTACTCTGTTTTTATGATATTACAACATTGACAAATGTTACAGGGACAGTATGTTGTTGGCTGGAATTAAAGCTCAGCTTCACTGCCATACTGTGAGCACAGCATAATAAGTGTTTTAAGCACTACTGCATAGATTTATTTTTTTGTTTTGTTTTAATACAGTACACTCGATTTCATGAACAGCAGGCTCAGATGTCTGTCACTTGATGCCTCTGGGACAGCGATAGCACGTGGTTGTCTAATGAAGACAGCGTGGCAGTCAGTAGATGATGTCAGTGGGATTCTGTCCTACACTTTCTTGAACTAACTCACAGCCTGGACAAATAACCTGTGCATGGAATAGAGATTTTATGGATCTTATCAACACCTGAGACCATGTTATTCCACCGACTGACTACTCCCTGTTTTTACCAGGTCCTGCTTGTGCTGCAAGTTGTTCATTGGTCTTAGGGAGCAGGAAAAGGCATAAGGCAGAGTGACAGTCTTCCTTTTTTTTTTTTCTTTTTTTTTTTAAAGCAGCACAAGCTCAGAGGCTCCAAAATGTCAGAGGTGAGGCATGACGGAGCTTCAAACAGCCTGGTAACTGGAGGTCACACATGGCTCAGAGGCGAAACGTGACTCAGCTTTTCAAAAGCATGTTCTCTCTCCCTCACATGTACACGCTTGCGCACAAAAACAGTACACTTTTTTTTGCAATTCTTTGCAATTGCTCAACTGATTAGATTCCTCTGTGCTGCTGAAGATGTGGATGATGATGATGCTGAATACATGATCATTCCTTGGACAAAAAAACAAAACAATACCACACATCCTGATTTTGTTCCTCTCGCTGAGCTGGAGGAGAAAACGAAACGCTTAATGCTAAAAACACTTTTCTGTGGATTTTTAACTAGTTACCACTTCAGACAAACTGAAGTAGACAAGAGAGCTTAGTGAATTCTTCGGCTGCTGTTGTTATCATATGTGTAAACTACTCAAGACAACAGAAATAAAACAAACAAAACAAAACATGACAGAAAAAGGGAAAAACTCCAGAGCTTTCTTTTCTTTGATGCATCAAGTTTTGGTGTGCATACTGTGACTGCACGTGGGAAAAAAAGGTGGACAGTGGACAGTCTGTGCTAAATGAGGATGACCGGGGACAGAGGTGAATCAGGAGCGGACTTAAAAGTTCTGTCCATCATTAAAGAGGGGTTGGGGACGGGGTCAGTGGTGTGGAGGCGGGGATCAACATCACAAGGATGTGAGGTCAGGAGTCTTCAGTGCCAGAGTCATCTTCGTCGTAGCAACAGTCTTCATTGTCGTCCTCGTCATCATCTTCCAGCTCCTCGTCATCGTAGTAGTCGTCATATAAAAGGTTGGAGCCGTCATCAGTGGGTGGAACTTGGGTGCGGACGCAGTACTCATCTAATGTAACAGGAACTTTCACTCCATCCCGTTCTGCGTCAGCTTTGGTTGCTAGCACCTGCTTCCTGTGAGAGAGAAAGACAGAAACAAATAAAAAACAGTTTTAATGGCGGTACATGTTGTAGCCGCTGTGCTGAATCCCCTCTGTAGCGTAAAGAGCGGTGCCGGCCTCATCAAGTACCTGATGATCTCGATGTACTCTCTGTCCTTTCCTTTACTGTCCCTCCATTTACGGTACATGACGGATGCGTCAACATTGGCAGGAGAGAAGGTGTTGGGCTCATTTAGCAGAGAGATCACACTGAGCAAGATGGTCCTGTGAGAGAGCAGACATCAAAGAGAGAAGTGAATATAATTATAGATCGAAAAAGGAAGAAAGTGATACGGGGGAGAAGAGGTGGAACGGGACAGAGTCGGAGCAAACATGGATGTAAGAGAAAACAAGAGCGAAAAACTGTACTACATTGTGTTTAAGGACATAAATATGGAGGCTTAACATATTGTACAATCTTGGTCAATCAATATGATCACTTTCTAATCAACTGGAGAGGCAGCACTTGGTGTAAGGGTTAATAAAATAAAATTGTGTTAATGTTTTGTTAAAATGGCACAAAATTAAATCTGGTATTTACTTGTATCCTCAGAAATACAACTTTCCTTTTTTTACTTACTACCTTCAGTTTGAAGTACATCTACTTTGTAGTTGTATAAAAAGTCCTCATCAATCACATACAGATACATGTATGTCTGTCGAAAGACACTCCAAAAGACTGAGGACAGAAACAACAGAGAAGCAGCTTGGAATGTGTGTGCGTGTGATAAAAAATATCTGAATGTGTATGAATTATACATCATGTTTGGATGTTGGCTGCATTTACACTGCAGCAAGTCGGCTGGCAGACAGGGAAAGGTTTCAAATGACTCTGAAGCTTAATGTTACGCAATGAAAGGCAGTCTGAACCGTATTTGATTTAAGTGTATTGACACTGTCTCTGCACAACACTGTTTGATCTTTTGCTGCAACAATGGATCAGTTAAACATCGTGTGACTAACTGACACATGAAGAAAACTACCCACGGGTTAATTTCTTTTTTAGAAAATACACAAAATTGAATTAGAGAGTAAAATGTACACTCATTCAGCTTGACCAGCAAGACTGTGGCCTAAACGATGACAGTGTTGTTTGGTGATGAATGGCACAGACAGTGTAGTGGTGAGTACCTGACGTTCTGTGTGGGGTTCCACCTCTCTGATGGCAGCTCACCGCTCTGTGGGTCATCTATAGGTGGGTGCAGGATAGAGATACATACATCCCCATTCTCATAAATGTTGGGGTGCCACATTTTGGTGAGGAAGCGGAAAGCAGGCGGTGAATATGGGTAGTCCACAGGAAACTTGATCCGAGCCTGAGAGACAAAGAACACAAAACAATAGCATATAAGTTTCCCTTAACGACCAACAAGTTTTTTCCCCCCAGTCATGGATATTTTCCTGTGAACTGTAACTCACAGGAAGACAATACTTGGACTGTGAAGAGTAATATTATTAGGCACAAGCTAAGAGTCTGGGGAAACACATATGACAGCCTCCTGGTATAGTCTTTCTGTTCCAGCAAGATACAGATAAAAAGTGCAGATTTACATTGATTTATCATGATTAATTACAATTGCAATTAATCATGTTAAAATTTTAATTGTTTGATATATATATATGCACATACACTATATACATATATATAAATACAGACACAAATATACCGTACGTGTATTTACATGTATGTATACTAGATTCATGTTATATGTTCTTTATGGCTCTAGCCATATCTCAAGGATTCTCTCTAACTTCTATAGCTGCTGAAAGAAGTTTATTAATAGTAACTTTACAGTCTTTGCAAGCCCTACTTAGGTAGAGGTGGTCATGGAGTTGCTAATGATAGCGTAATGTAATATGGTGTGGAGAATAGAGGGAGGGAGGCTTGTGATGCATTTAGCTTCTGAGTGTGTGCAGCTTAGAGAAACATCAGTAGGTAGGTGGGGATGATACAGACATTATTGGAGTAGGTCCTCTCCAGCTGTCCCTGGACCCAAAGCTTTCTATGCTACTCACAGCTATGGCCTACTGAAACCACACCCACTCCCTCTACATCTGCATGAAGGCAAAATGCTAGTCTGTTCAGAAAAAGCAATGCACAGAAGCACTTAGTCGCAGCACGGACATGCACCGCCTGCCGTCTACACACTGACAGTCAAACTCACTAACTCACTCACATTTGCTGATTCGGCTCGGACAGCTGCTCCTTACCACAGTGGACCATGAGGCACAGGGTGGGAGGCCTGTCAGCTGCTCTGAGCAGGGTGGGAGTGGGGTTGCAATGGAGGCAGAAATGGGGGGAGGGGTACCTCTTGAAATAATGGAAGATAGTACTATATGAATAATAGAGTGACCTTCAAGCTCTCTAGCATTGAGACCACAGTTTGGGAAGCAAAATGTACTGCCTGTAAATACTACAAGCGGTATGTTCTGTTCAATGAGAGTCAGAATGCCCTGACTTTCAGAGCAAGCACCATTTGTTTACTGGATGTCTTTCAAGACGAGGATTCCTGATTTGCAATCAACAGAACAAACTTGTTCAAAAAAAAAAAAAAAAAAACAGGCTGGGGAGGGAGCAGCGAGTTGGCCATGAGAGAATGTCACCTGTAGGAAAGTACAAGCCGAAACCCTGGATTTGAAATACTTTGGCCAGAAACTGGCCCATTAAAGTACAAAGTTTAACAGTGCAAAAGAAAGCTTCCTTTAAAGAGGAAGAAGATGAACAAACTGCTTGGATTTCTAATGTTTTTTTTTTTACCAAGCTCACCTATGCTTTTTATCTGTCTTATTTCTATGTTTATATTTGTATCTTTTAAGTCTCAGGTCACTCATCTGCAACCTATTCTGCATTCACCACATTGAAGGATCAGGTGTTAGCAGGTCAAGTGCATGTGGTTCTGCTTAAACTACCTGTAAAAAAACATGTATCTACAGAACAGACTTAATCATGACATTGATTAAAGCTCCTGCTATTAGTCACCCAAACACAGGGGATCTTTATTTCACTGTGACCTTAAACGGCTGGCTTGAAAGATAAAAACTAATGAGAATGAACATGCCCACCTCGCAAAATGGCAGCAAGGTGAAATAAACTAGGTCAGTGCAACAGACATGAAGTGAAAAATAAAAAAACATTCTGTTCTCTATGCACACTTATCAACTGAGGAGAAGGCGATTGAGCAACTGAGTTATAATCTGGCTCCTCTGTGACTGTAAAAAACAAAAACATAATAAAACCAAAATTAGCAGCCATGATTTGAAGGTGTGATAACCTCAATCTTGACCTGAATCTGTGGGCAGTTATGACTGACTTCTGCAGCCTCTCCCACCACAGATCCCCTTTCATGAAGACAACGCTTCGAGGAAGAGCTCAGTGCTTCAACCTAGCTCTTTCTCTATTCTCTCCATTTCCCTGGGCCCAGCTCTCATTTCTCTGTGACAAAGCCAGAGGGGGGGAAACATGACTCCAAACAGCTCAGCAAGGCCCGGCCCAGACAAGTCCTCTGCAGCGTGGTTGAGTTCTTACTGACTGCACACTTCACTGCACTGCTACTTCAAGGCAAAATTATGTAGCATGCGTGTGAGGGCAAAGAAAAGCAGACACAAACTAGTCAGCTTCACAACACAACTCAAAATGTTAGAACACAGGCCTGGTAGAAAACTGAGTGAAGAAGTCTCCTTTTGTCATGGTTGATGTAAAGAATTATCGATACTATGTGAAGAACAGTATCGATAACTATTGGATATCGATACGGATAACAAATTATTATCTGGTCTTGATGGCGACATCCAAACCATAACTTTTTTTCTCATAATACAATTATCTTTATATGACCTTTTGTTAATGTTGATCTGAGGACAAGAAATAATGGGACATTAGTCTGACTAAATATAAAACTATGACCATCCCAAAGTCAATTTATTGCTTTTGTCAAGAAATCATAGCATAGTACAGCTGCACAGGTATACAGAAAGACAAAGTCAAAATGTATTTTAAATAAAAATGTTTCCTTCTCTCCAAAGCATTGTTGTTTCCTCCAAGGTGGTGAAAAACACTCAGAAAAGTAAAGCTGTTTAAAGCTAATTTTCCAATTGTTCTGTTCCAACTCAGGTGGACGACTTCAGAATTTAACAGCAAACAATAACATTGTGCACCTTACAAAAGACCACATCTTCTCACATGCTGACATAAGACTTTACTTTCTTTACTTTAACCGTTCCACTACATAGCAAACTTTCTGTTCTGTCAAACACAGAGCACACAGATGATCTTATAAGCCACCTTTAAACTATGTGTTTACTATGAGAACTCTGTACCACTTAAAAATCTTGTATAGACAGAACAAGAAATAGTAGGAAATATATTTGCATTAATTAGTACAGTAGATTAGAATGCAGCTGTAGCTGTATGACATACATCATTGTGGATCTGTGTAAATCCACAATCAAGGTATGACACGGTGCTACGACAAAATGCAAAATTGTAAGTCTTTGTGCTTGATTATAGAAATGCTGGAGGTTAACTTAGGTTAAAGAAACAGTTTCTTTTGATAACAGTAGATTTGGAGGGTTTCAAGGTAGCATCAGCAAAACATTAAAACATTTCATTAAAATTACAAAAAAATTCAATATTAGGAAAAAAAACATCTGAGCCTTCTCCTGCAGTCCAGTGATTGCAAAAATTGATCAGGCCCATAATAGAATTTTATTGTTTATTAGGAAGGATCATGAAATGTCAATACAAACAAAAATGTGTAGATACTGTAGATGTCAAAGAGAAGAGAAACGAAGTGTCAAAGAGGACTACCCAAAATGATCACAATGAGAGGGTCAAAGGTCATATACAACTGATGATTAAATCACACCAACTTGCCATCTTAAAACAATAATAATAAAACAGGAAAGGTTTCATTTCCATATTAAGAGTGTCAGTGCATCACTAACACACGTGAACTTGAAAATCTCACAAAACTCAGAATTCCTGAAAGATTTCAAGATTCCAAAGGTCTCACAGCCAGGGAAGTTTGTAAACACAACACAAGGGTCTACTGTAAAAGCTTTAGGTCAGAGTTCAAAATTCTATTCATGAGGTTGTGTTTACAAATAGGCATAGATGTAGGACAATTATTCAACAAGTCTCGGAGGACAGTGTGTCTACAGTCATAATGAATTAGTCACGTAGCTGGTCTGTGTGAGCAACACCCATGTGAACTGAATACCTGACTATGTCAGGTTTCATGTGACGTCATAACCCGCCCTGTTTCTGTTGTACAGACTGCAGCGATGTGTCATGACTGCGTGGTTGTTTGAAACACACTGTGTGTTTGTCAACCTCTGTACACATGGCAAACAGGTTGGATGGAAACGCAGCACGGACCACTGACTCAGAACCACGCAGTCAATATTACAGCCAGGCTGTGCATTCCTGGCCTGACAAAGGAATCCTGAGCACAGCGCCCACAGAGAACACCATCAACGGTAATCTGACTGGGGCCCTCAGCCTGCCTGTGCTCACAGGCTCTAACAAGACCAGAGGCAAAATAAACAGGCTTCTCAAGAACTGGTAACACAGAGCACTGTGTACATTGTGAATACAGATTGAACACAGTGGCAGTCAATAGTGATACATTATAGTTGGGTTGTAACGTGAACACTGGTCAACACAAGGCCTCAATACAAGGGTCTACTACAAGGATAAAAAAAGTCCATTAAAAACACAATTTCAACTAATCAAAAAGTATGCTTTTTCAATCTTGTACTAACAAGACAAGGCTGCTACGATTAGTTGATATAGAGGACTGCTAAAAGTTGTCAACCTAGTCGATATATACAGGTATTTAGTTATCTTTTCACTAGGTTTTCCGAACACCACTGGTCACTGCTGTGCTCAGGGCATCTGTGAAGAAAGGGTCAGATCGAGTTGCTAAAGTGTTGGCTCTTGTCCGTTTCCTGTTATGTTTTGATTTAAAATGAAGAAAGGGTCAGATCGAGTTGCTAAACTGTTGGCTCTTGTCCATTTCCTGTTATGTTTTGATTTAAAGCACATAAAAATAGACAGAATAACAGAATAAAGAGTGAATACATACATACATAAATAAATAAATAATGCTGGGTCTTGTTCAGTGTCAAGTGAGCGACCTTTCAATTTTAGAAGCCTGAAGCATCAATGGTATGGGAACACTTCAGGTCAACATGTGATAATAAAGAGTTCTACAGACTAACAAGTACGGCCTCATCAGCTTATCAAGGCAGCGCAGGCATGATTCAGGGAGACCTTAAAAGAAAACACGCAGGGGCCATAGTAGCCAGCAGAAAAGGCAAAACATTAATAAGAAATATGTGTATTGAATCATTTAATCTACATTCTTTAATTAGCCTTTGACTCCATGAGAATCTGTGAATAGAACAGCGTTTTATTCAACTGGTACCAAAGTGTAACTGTAAAATAGAGTAGAGCTATCCTATTCCATTCAACTGCTACACTTGGGTATGGAGTGTAATGGCAATTCAAACTTTTGTGTAAAAGGAAACTAAAATGGTATGGCAAACTTTTAGGGAGATGTTTCCCAAAGGCTCTTGTTTTTGGCAATACATTTGCTGACTACATTATTTTCATTTTACAGTAGGAGTGTCATGGAATAACTAAGGAGCAAGGGATAAGTGTGTTGAGCAAGTATGGCAAAAACAAACAACAAACAGTTACCTAACAAACAAAATTGCAAGAAAGGAAATAACTTCTGAAAACATTTTTATAAAAGATCATCTAGTAAGATTACATTAAAGCTTGAAAAGCTGTTCCAACAACCTTTTCTTCTGGGGTACTAGTGCAGAGCTCCCCTCTTCTGCAGAACTGCACATCAACATTTAACAACGTGAAAAATGTTTAAAAACATATCTCAAATATCTAAAACTGTGTTGAATTTTAGTTCTGTGACCCAATAGGGTTTGTGTAGACAAGCACTTAGATAGTCCAGATAGAAGCTTGGCAATGCTCTACTAATCATCCAATGCTAACCTCCAATGTCTTACTGCTTCCTCTTTCGGCTGTTTTGTGCCATTAGTGCACGTTACAGCAACCTCCTGAGAGTATTCTTACAATTGTAAACAATTCCAAGTACAATTGTCCCGTTAACTTGGAAAAGGTAACTGGGCACTACAATGCATACACAATAATGTAACCTATTAAATAAGTTAATGCAAATGTATTGTGTTTAATTTTAATTATTGCAAATTCCACATTTAACAATATATAATTTACAATTATCACAAAAACACACATGGAAATTGTGAATATGTTTTTGGTCACGAGTTACAATGGAGCCAATTCATTGTTTAGAAAATACTTCCTAAACTTCTTAAAATCAAAATCCCGCATAGTACAATGGGGAAAATATAGTTTTATTGCGAATATTCTAATCAATATAATTGTGTTTGACAGTTCCATTGTGACAATGCCCAGTGAGTTAAGTTCCCTTTTTTGTTATCAGTGGTAAACATAGAGAGCTAGTGGACAGCCAGGATTGGTCCATTATATTTAAATAAACTGAAATAAAAGATAAATCGAGCTGCCAGAGAACAATAGCTCGACTGCTAGCTAACGCTGGCTGCTTACCTTAAAATAACCGCCCTCGTAGTGAGTGTTAGGAGGTCCGAATATCGCCACTTCCCAGTTGTACATGTCCGCCTCGTCCACTAAAGTTATCTTAAATCCTTCCACCGGCTCATCTTGGAGACTCTTCATCTCCAACATAAGTGCTTTCTGGGAACTGGCTACATGATGTCCATGCTGAGCCATATTCCGCCTCTGTGTGTTTATCTGCTATCAGCTATAGCGCTGCGAACAAGGACAAAGATAGCTCGACTAAAATGATGGCCTTAACTAAAACAACAAAGTCCAATCCCTAAAACCCTCGCGTTAACGTCAGTTTTTTTCAGTGTGTGGTGACTAAACAGGGCCCTGAAACCGCGACGCTGCTTTGTTCGGTCAGAACTTGCGCTCCCTCCTGTTCTCTGTTGTTGTGAACAGTCCAGTGTCGCTCCAGTTCATAACAACTATCCAGAGCTCCACTGCCGTAAAGTCACACACAGACACGTCGATTTGGTTTCCGGCCGTAACTTTCAACAGTAGTCCCTTTTTCTTCAAATAAACAGAACTATTAAATAAAACCTCAAACGAGACCAAACTGGAGGGCAGGGAGGTCGAAATATCTGCTATTAATGATCCTTAAAAGTAAAGTAATGCGTTTTTTAAACCAATGTTACTTAACTTTGTGTCAATTATATTTTAAGATAAACAAAATGTATCAAATATGCTGGCTTTATTTTATTTTCAGAAAAAATGTATGTATTGCTCCTATTGTGGTTATTATTATGAGGTAATTGTATTCACATTTTGAACACATGCTTAAATGATCTTGCTCTATCAGTGTGTTTATTCATCAGATTAATTGTGTCCACCTGTGCTCCACTGACATTCCCTTGTGCTCTTGTCCCTAAAACTCATTGATGTAATTGATTTACTCTCATCAGCTGGTGTTGCACAACCAGATCTGCAACTATCAGTTGACTAGTGGCCCATTATTAAATATACTATAAAATTGAAGTCTTTGGGACAACTGTGTCCTATAATCACTGAGTTTTCTAGTTGGTCGTCTCAACTAACCAAATGGTCCCTGTACAGCGTCTTATTTTCATGATGTACTAAAATTACTCCTGTCTATAAGCTTACTAAAATTTAAAAAAATATTGTTTAAACTTAATAAATAATCGTCATTATTTTTGCGAGGTAGCGTTCACACTCATCTTTATGTTTTCACAATGAAATGCATCCAGTTGTCAATAATACTTTCACTCGTAAAACGATGCATGGTATTATTTTGAAAGTACAAACGGGAACGGTTTTTGTCCTCCGTTAGCTTAGCGACAATAATTTTACGAAAGATATCCTTTCTTCTTTGGGTGCATTCGTCTAAAAATTCTAGGGACCGATGATGTTCACCGACTGTTCACTCATGAAAAACAAAATTTCGTTATTCTATCTTGACAGTTGAACTTTACCAAACTCAGCTGTTTGCTGTCAGTCAATTAAAGGTCGGGTATATCTGCTGAAGCAAGTGATTCTGGGAAATCCAAGAAGTGTTGCCACATTTTAAATGTTGAAATATCGAACAGGCGGCCTAAAGTTATGTCATTACTCAATTTTGTTTACTCTGACATAACCTACTGTAGCTCGGGACAGTCAGCTTCACTAACTCATTATCAGAGCCCTTGCATATTGCTAGTTTTATGTATAGAACGCGCTGCAGGTTCGTCAATGTTGACGTCGTGTTTCGTTGGCTGTTGATTGGTTGTAAAGAGGCACATGAGACGACGCGTAAAAACAGGCGCAGGGAAGAATCCGTAGTCTACCACTAAATTTTCTTGACTGCATTCATTACAACTATAGCGGGGGAAGTATCTTGTTTCATGTAGTGAGAATGAATCAACTCCGGTATTTAAAAAATAGTGAAAATAGTGTTCGGATATAGGTTATGCTATTGTCCATGTACGGTAATATCGTACGTTCTGAAACACCAAATCCAAAGCTACAGTTCATTATGTACTGTAGTAGTGCACAATGAACTGTGCTACATTTACCAAAAAACGTTGGTCGAGTAACACGTTGTGGACAAATATTCAATAAATATTATTAGATAGGATTACTAATGGATATTGTATCCATTAGTTATGATAACAAAAGGTTGTTTTTGTTTAGTGAGTGTCCACATCTAGGGAAAGCATCCCCTCCTTATGTAAAAAAAAGAAAAGGAGATTGTCCTTAGATGTTAGGCAGAGTAATATTTTTAAGTTATAATAAAATAGAACACCAGCAATTGAATCACTCCATCACAGTCATCTTCTGTCTTGGTCAGACAAAACAAAAATACATGTCTTTTGTGAATGTTTATTGATTCACTGTAACACAAAAAGACTACAGCATCATCTTACAGCCTTTTATTTTTTTAATTTTGGGTGGAATTCTTTAAAGGGAATGTAGATAACTCATGTTGCCCTCTTAAAAACATTACTTTATACAGTTGCAGAATCAAGAATGGAGAAATCAACAGACAGGACCTTCAAAAATATATATATCTGGGTCATATTGGAGTATACTTCAACCTCACAAGCCAAACTTGGTAAAATAAGTCACTACAACTGAAGAAAAGCAGATTTAGACAGTGGGCTGAGTCTTTCAGTACACTGCTTCACTTGACCAATTCTATCTATTATATACTGTGCCCCAAGCCCTGTGTGTCATGACAGCCGATAGAACCCCCTTTTCTTTCCCCCGTGTTTAATAATTTAAAACATTCAATAATATCACTTTAAAATGTATAGGTATTTAAAAAAAAGAAAATACAAGATGGAATGTTCGTGAAAAAAAAGAGAGAAAATAAAGTGTACATTTCTAACCATGCGATTTACAAATTTATTCAAATATGCACAGGAACAATATTTGACCATGTGTGATTGTTAAGTGTTTCTTCTTCCTGATTTCATTCATTGTTAGTAATAGAAACGACATACAAATACATTTTGGACTGTCATTTCTGGCATACTGCTTACGACATCTGTTGCGAGCCGATCTAGCAAACACTTCCATAGTTTGAATATCAACAGATGAACATGGAGGGGCCTTGTTTTTTTATAATGTATAAACAGAGACTTTAGGTCAGAACGTGGTACTGGAGCAAGTAGTGAGATAATTGATTTAAACGTTGAATCCCTCCGAGGGCGGTCTAAGAGGCCTTTTCTTATAAACGGTCTTTCTGGTTAAAAATAACACATCAACACACAAAAAGTGAAAAGACAGTTGCTGAAAAGAAACTGGATTTGTATGCAAGACATCTGGACGTCTGGACTAAAACTCTGTTCTGTTTACAGCATAGAAGCCACGATGCTTAATACTAACTCAGGAGAAGCTGAAATCATTGAATGTTTCACAGTCTGTGTTTACAAGAGGGACCAACTGCAACAACTCCATGGAGGAGGTTATAAAAATGACAGTGTAAATATGCCATTATTTAATTCCTCGTTACGGGACTTGAACATAAATTGGAACATAACCTGATTCCTGCTTCTTACCACTTTGTTTCACTGTTTATTCCACCAACTGGTGACACAAATGTCGGCAGTCAAACACTATAGCGGCATTGTATATATGAGAATGTTTCTGTACAGTTATAACATCTTTTATACAACCAACAACTCCAGATTTAATGGAAAGCGGAGACAGACTGAGGTGACATCATCCTGACAGTAAACTGTCTTGTGCTAAAACCGAAATCTCACAAATTATACTACACTCATCTGTTGCCAGTTTTAAATTCATCGATGTTTTGTTAGGGGTAATAAGACTCCTTGTATTAGCCTTGAAGTGTTGGAGGAGGTGAGAGTGCATGACTAAGGCACAGAGCAAAACCAATGACCTGCTGTTCGAATCCTCCTCTAGTTATCAATGATTCTGACGCATGGCACTAGCTCGTTGGTGCTGAGCGTTGCCAATGGGCAGGAGCTCTGATTATAGCTTAGGACTTATGCCTTACATGTAGCTTTGGATTCATTGCTACTCTCACTTCCCAATGCAGTCCCTTGGTGTCTGGTTTTCTCTACGCAATTTGTCAGAAGATGAAGACAAGTTGAGAGCAGAGAAGATCAAAATTCCCAATGTTATCAGCTTGGACCCATCAGAGAAACCTGACGTATTCTAGTCCTGCACAGATGTTTGGTGAGCAGAAAGAACAGGCTGTGACAAAGGCGCAGGAAGGCTTTTACACAAAAAGGACAAAAGCAAACAAACAACAAAAGAAAAACTTCAAAACAGTAAAAACAATTCAACCATCAACAGCAAAAGTCCAGTTTTCAACATTAAATTACATTACACTGTCTTCGACTTGGGTGCCGACAGAATGGAAGTGGGGAAAAAGTAAGCAGGAAGGAACAGGTCATCCAGAAACAGGTTTAGAGTCAGGATGGAAAAGGTGGCTGTCAGAAAATGGGGGGAGGAGGGTGTAAAATAAAAGTGCATCACAGAGAAGATGAAACGTGTGAGAAACCATTGAGCTCAGGGTACACAGGAAACAATAGACATGAAGTAAAATAGGGGAAGGTAAAAGGTCAGAAAAATGTTGCAAATATCAGGACTAATGACACAGCAATGGAAGTGCCAACTGCAGTATTTCTGTAACATGATTATATTGTGTAGAGTTGCCAGGTAGGGAGTGTGGGCTTATATGACCAGGTTAGGGGTAAACCTGGGGCTGTCAGACACAATCAGCACTGAGAGAAGGTCTGCTTGATTTCATCCAACACATTCCCAAGCAGCATCGGCTCATCACATTTAGCGTCAATGGAAACTGTCTGACCAGACTGTGAGGAGGAAGAGAGAGAAAACAGTTTAATATTTGAATATCCACATTTAAAAATATATTTGAACCTTTTTGTATTTAAGGTTGTTTGAGTGGTTGTTGAACTTTCAGGTGGTGTGCTGCTAGCAGTCCGTGGAAAATTGCAATTTACTACTCCCAAATGGATTAGATATTGCCCCAATAAATTAATGAACTTACAGTTTTGACGAGTAGACAGACATGGTGACCCTGGATAGACCTGCTGTACATGGAGGCACAGGAGTCGATCCTCTCCACGACTGTTCAAAGAAAACAAACACCACATCAGTGAGGAATGATCTGGAAAACTGCATGCAACTTCACTGTGAGCCAAACCTGATCAACACTTACCACATACCCAACAAAAAGTAAAATGTCCTTTCCAATACTATTTAGGGTTAATTATTTAAGGATTATGCTCAACTTCTGTTGAATCAAATCTTTATCTTGGTGAATTATGTACCTGAGAAATGGTGATGGAAGCAGATCCTGGCTAGAAGGTGATGGAAGGGCATGTTTACCCCCTCCAGTCGGACAGAGCTGCTCTTCAGGTCAGCCGACTCCAACAGCTTTGCAAATGCATCACTATCAGAGAGAGAACAGTTGGGGTGTTTTGTTTTTCTTGACCAAAAAGTTTAGGATAAAACATTGTAAGACTTGTAATCATTCCAGTCAAACTGTTGCAACAAACCTGTAGCAGGGAGTAGTGATTAAGTAGGAGGTGCAGGTAAAGTGCAGTTTGAAGTCCAGTTTCTCATGAGTGGAAGATTCTTCAGTCTGGAGGAAGATAACATAGTAACAAACAATTTCAATATATTGGAAATGCAAACATGTGAAGGATTTCTGAACAAAATAAAACATAGGTTGTAAAAATGTAATTGGCAAAAAAACAACTGTGTCTTTACAGAAACCAACTACACAACAACACTAACCTTTACAATAAAGGTTAATGTTCCCTTAAGTTTCTGTGGCATCACAATGCTCTGAACGGTGAAGACATATCTTGCCTCGTTGGACACACCTGAAACAAACCAAAAGCTTCAGTAAAAAAGGTGGAATCATCTGACTTTCCCTGTGACTGGTTTTTATCAAACAGGTGTATTTATTTAGTGATAATTACTGACCAGGTGGGAGCTGGAAGGGAACGGCGAGGCTGTCGTGTGGACCTGAACCTTCTGGCCTCTGAAGTTTGGAGTTAAGAGAGTCCAAGACATTGAACTCCATGGATTTGAGGAAACTATCACACTTGTTTTCAAATATGACCGACACCACGACCTGACTGCCGTCCTGCAGGTTCCCCTGGATGTCATAAACCTTAGAGGCAGAGCACACAACAACAGTGTTTTTGAAATGAAAGCTTTACTTACAGCTAAAATTACAATTCAAGCTCAAACTGACAAAACTTTTTTTTATAGACAACAAAAAGGAAATCAAGTAATCACAGCAAGCCCACTTCATTAACCGCACACCAATGCACACATCATTGTTTTCAAGAATCTAGTAGTACAAAAGAAGAGAAAGGTCACAGCAGAGACTCTGTGTGTGAAAGACCTCTCTGCCTCACAGGCCACTCAGTGGAGAACACAGAGAACACATGTAGAGAACAATCATAATATTCTGTCAGTGACAGTTTAATCAATACCTGATCAGCATCTTCCATCATCTTTAATTGGAGAGAGACAAATCAGAGCTGTGTATATAGCTTTAACAGTTGTCCTTAATAAACACAATCTATACATTCTCATTGTCAGATGTAAATAATAATCCACTTCCTGATTGAACATAAGCTGCTTGGTCGATTTCAACACTCCAAGATATGTGAAACGTTTGTAACTAGTAATTTACTGGAAGCAACTGAGCAACAGAGAACCGTGTCTGGAAACAGACTTTTCTAAATTAATCACAAACAATGGTGTTCAATAGGAAAACCAATGAGTACGGCAGGACAGATACTCCTTTATATCTATCCATCTAACAAACCCTTTATTACTTACCATTTTAATGTAGGAGTTCTCAGCCAACAGGCAGTAATTGGACATGGACTGAAAGAAAGAAAGGTCGAGTTAAAACATGAAGGAATGTAAGAGGTTTTCAATGAAAACAGCGTTCAAGTAACCCCATTCATTTTAAAACATTACATACAGACAAACATGGTGAAATACATTACTATGTTATATAAAGGACATTATTGTGCCTAATGTTCAGTTTATTTGTGCAAACTATCAAATGTAGATACATAACAAAACACTTCAACACTTCATCAAAAAGTGATCGAACATTACTGACCGGAAGAGGCTCCTCCTCCTCCTCCACCGTGCCGTTCTGCACCGACTCTTCTCCAACTCCATCACTGTGGTGATGGTAGTGATGATGCTTCTTCTTTTTCTTCTCCTTATCTTCCTTCTCCTTCTTCTGCTTCTTTTTCTTGTGTTTGGAAGGCTTCTAATGATCAAAACCCAGAGAAGGAAACATAAAGAAAAAAAACTTCAGGCCTTACAACTGCTAGAATAATCCAGACACCATGTCAGAACTCTGGCTAATCATTTACACAGCGTTTCTGTCAGGATTAACAGGGATCTCTAACACTACAGTCAGACGTTCCTGCTGTGTAATAATTATCAGCAAACAGTGGGGGGCTCACAGTGGCTTCCATTTCGGCGTCTTTGGGTTCGTCAGGCTCCGAGTCCTGTGCTCCTCCTGAGATCACCTCAGCTGCTGAGGCTGCTTCTGCGGCTGCTACTTTTGGAACTTCCTGTTTACACACACACACACACACACACACAAGTAAACACAAGACCCTTAGCAAGAGCAAACAGGCCATGCAGCATTTAGAAAAGTTTATGCCATTTCTGTTTTGACAGAGTTAAGTCTTTCATTCACAGAAGTCATGCAGCACCAGCTGTAATGAATGACAAACATATTCAGATAAATCAGGAGTCACACCCAAAATGACTCCCTGAAATCAGTGATGTGTGACTAAATCATCCAACCTTCCAACCACCCTGTGCATTAAAACCGGCCATTATACTGGGTAACAATTATATATTACTGGTTTATTTAAAAAGAAAAATCAAGGTTTCACCACTTTTTAAATGTGTAGCATTACTGCAGTACTTAGAACTCCAGAAGCTGCACAACTGCAATCATGTAAATGGTGGAAGTACAGTATTTCTGTGGGTATCTTTGTTTTATGTTCATTCAACACTGCTCTTTTAGTGTTGAACGCTGCAGACAACTGGTCCAGGTATTTTCATCAAGTGTATTAGATTTTAAAGCTTCTTAAACCTTAGCATCACTATAACTGTGGAAGGATGGGACTAAGCTACGTATCAATATCTGCTCAGTGGACTAAGTCAGTGGACTAGTCTGTAAAAAGGGACGGCCTTTTCTTAGATGCAAATTTATTTCAACCATACATTATTGGGATGTTACCTTTATTTTGAAAAATACAGTGTAGTTAAGTCAAATTGTAGGAGAAAGAGAGGAGAACATGCAGTGAATAAAGTGATTGTTAGTCTGACACTGAGGGATTGCCGCTGGAATTCTCTGCTCCCTAAAAATTCTTAGACCTTTTTTCTTCATTTTTAGCTGTATATTTATAATACTGCTAAAACAAAAAGAAATATTGGTCAAATGGTTTAAAAAAAACAGCAGGAAGCAGCTGCACGCAAGGGGTTACGTGGTACTAACAGACACAAAGAAACTGACCCCAGGCCAGATTCCAGGTGACCTCAGGCAACCTGCACTCTGTCATTACCACCAGCACCGCCACAGACACAAAAACCACTTTGAATCACAGACTGACATGGAATCCAGCGAGCACAACAACAGCTGAGAAAAAAAAGTCACTGGCATCCTTACACCACCACAGAGACATACTGGAACACAGAGGAAACACAGGGCAATGGAAGAAGAAAGTGTTACTGTAGGTGAACTTTGAGAGACAACGTGTGAATAAGAAGGAAAAAGAAATGACTGATCCATTAGGAGGTGCAGAGAGAGAGACTGTGTGACAACACAAAAACGACACAAAAGCTTGATTAATAAATCATGGAGTGAATAAGGAATGTGTTAACTGAGGAGATGAAGGGAGGAGGGGACACTCCACCTGGATGTTAGAGGGCACTGGAGCATTTGAGAGCCAGAAATCCAGATCCGAAACCTAGAAGAGGAAGGGAGGGAGAGGAATGCCAGGAGGTGAGAGGGTTGAGGAGCACACAGGTTCTGTATCTACTATCACAACCTGTGACAACAGATACAAAGACATTCAAGGTTCTATGTCATGAATGCATTGAGTTCGAGCAGTCGCTAAAGAGGAAATGATACGTGACCCTTGAAGCTGATGGAAAAATAGACTGTAAGGAAGCATGCATATTAAATGTGATCACTCAGCAGAGACTGTACACTCCATACAGAGATAAAATGTCATGTGAATTAGAAATTATATAAGATTTTGATCCAACAGGCGGCTGGTATCAAGTGACAGTAATTGGGGCAAAGAGAACATTTACTATTTAACATTTTCCAAGCTGGATGTTTTCTATTTTAAGCCTTGTGGATGTAAAGCTACCTTCCAGTGGACTAAGCGGATGAAAATGGATGGATAGATGTAAAGCTATTTTGCTACACATTGGCTAAACTTAAGCTAACTTCTGAGCAATTTTTAATTATACCGTTACAATTTCAAGTAATTTATATAAGTAATGCTCACTACGGTAGCTTCATTTGCAAGTCAAAGTTCACTGCTGTTCAGGTCTGCTGCTTCACTACAGCACTTATACTGTAACCTGTTTATTGTACTAGTTAAATCAGCCGTGAGGATGCTAAATAAAATGTAATGTTTTCAAACAAGTTGTCTAAATGACAAGTATTTTCATGTTGCTCATATGGGCTTCATACCTCAGCACTGTTGGATGTGGGTGGCTCTGAGGCTTGACTGGGTTCCTCTGATTGGACCACAGGCTCATCCACCTCAGCCCCTAGGAGATCTCCGTCTTTTTCCTCACTTTTGTGTTTCTTCTTCTTCTTTTCATCTTTGCTTTTCTGGAAGGAAATAAGCAAGTACAAAATAGGTTGAGAAACAAAATCAACAAGTCCTCACCTATGGACTGCAGTTGACTTTCCAGATCTCAACTTACCTTCCTTTCCCTGTCTTTATCCTTCTTCTTTTTTTCCTCCCTCTTTTCTTTGCCATGCTTCTTCTTTGGCAGCTGTGTGGCGATGCCGTCTGCATCTCTGTCCTCTACAGGGCTCTTTGCAGCTTCTGCTGCACGATGAGACCTAACTGGTATTTTCTCACTGTCCGCAAGAGGTCTGTAGGGAGGAAAGAGCATCGAGACATTTTGACGCTGTTCAAATTAGGACTACAGACAATGACAAGCTGGCTGTGAAGAGTTTGTTTTGGTCATTTGATTTTTTTCATAAGGCAAATAATAAAAGAAAGCTGTCAAGAAAGCTGCTAAATTATATGTTAAAGAGAATAAGTTATTCAAACATTAAAAATAAAGGTAAAAAGCACATCTTTTATTTCAAACGGATGTTTCATTTTATGTCCCTTTGACTTTAGCTTGTCCCTGGTAATAACTGACCAATTCTCTACAGCCCCCTGCTGGTGTATTTCTGCAAATACATTGACAATGGTGGATTAATACTACTATACTGTCACTTCTGGTTTTGGTTTAACAATAAATTAAAATGTTGTTCTTTGGCCAGGTCAGACACAGGTTTTTAACCAGATTCAAACAGATTACCAACATACTTTAACAAACAAAAAAGGAGGTTAACGCTAAAATCTCCAGAGAAAACTGGCAGCAGAGATCTGTCGTGAAACATTTTCACTTGAAAAAAAAAAAAATTGGAATGAGCTAATTGTCCAGTGCATACTTCCCACATTCTGTGTTTGTGAAAAATGATTTAATTTCATTTTAGTTGTCATTTATTATTGTTTGACAACATCTGTATTAGGGACAGGGTGTTTCTTCTGTCTCAATTATTTTAATAATTGTGGAAATAAAGTCAGCACACAAGCTGCCAACTGCAACTACATGTTTGAGTTCTAACACATATTCATCCTTTGGGGTTAGACTGATTTTGTGAAGATGCAAAATATGACCTGGACCCATTGCAGCAGCTTATTTATAAACACCTGCTATGTTATCATGCTAACACAAAGTAAAAAAAAAAACAAAAAAACAAAAGATACAGGGATACTGCTGTGGAATTGCTCTTTTAAATACTACATTTTGACAAC